AATTATTATTATTATTACTTTTTTTTTTGGGGGGGGGGTTTGAAAAGCAATGGTTATTGAAATGGTCATTGATTTGATGGCATTTGGCATCGTTGGGAAAAATACGCTCTCAACAGTTTGAAATCTTTTATGCAAACAAAAAACAGAAGCGATCCCAGGATCTCGCCCCGAGGGACACCGCTTGCGACGCAGACCCCTGTCGACTCTTCACTATTTACCATCAATGGGCGCTACCTTTCTTCAACCCCATCCGGCGACTAAATTTGACTGTCTCGTATTCCTCTCTGAGAGCAACAACAGGAACCAAATTTGGCATACTTCTTCCTCTCTCAACTCGGAATCGCTCCAGCAAATTTGAATCTGCATCTCCCAGGGTTGTGATAATTGAATCTCGCTTTTGGGAGATGTGAATTTCGTTCCAGAATGATTTTTTTTATCCCCCCTCCCCCGGGTACCCGCTCCTGGGAAGTTTTTGGAGGAAAGAGACCAATCGAACGAAAGATATTGACCTGTAGGTGACAAAAAGTGTCCTTTTTGTTGCTTCCGGTACACTATTTTGCCATGAAAAATGAAATTAGATGCCGTTAATTTAGGCTTAGCGCGATGGCTCCAGTCCCGTCCTCCAGTGTTGCCGGATATCGTGCCTTAGTTCCCCAGATTGGTGACTTTTTTAGCCTTTGTATCGTTGTTTGGATCTTCTCTTTTAATGTAGGAGACATTATTGTGCTGAATTCGTGGGATTCAACGTCCTCGTGATCCTCCTATATTCCTCGTCGTCCGTTCTATCTCCCGTGCGCTTGTAGGTATCCCATTTCCGCTTTTTATCCCTGATGAGTGCTTTGATTTTAGCCGTAAACCAGACCGGTTGCCTGACCGATTTCATGGACTTCTTGGGGATGCATTCCTCCATAAAGCCAATAACGTCTCGAACGCCCCCCATTGCTCCTCTACCGACAGCCCACGGAACCGCACCTTCCAGTCGATGCCCGAAACGCATTCGCGTAGTCTCTCGAAATTATCCTTCTTACAGTTGTACGAAACCTTCGTCGGTTTGGCGTTACTCTTCGTCCGCTTGATGTTCCACGTGATCGTGCAGTGGTCCGAATCTCCCAAGTTATGCTGTACCTTAACGTCAAGTACCAGATCGTCGTTCGTCGCGAAAACTAAATCCAATAAAGTTTCCTCGCGCGTCGGTTCTTCCAAGTGCCGAACGAGAAGAGCATCCTGAACCGCAACGAGAAATTCCCTATCCCATTCGCTCCCCCCTCGCGGCACCGACCAATCTATGTTAGGCATGTTAAAGTCTCTGAAGAGGAATACCTGCATCGAAATCTTGCTCATCCTACGTATCGGTGCAAAATAAGCTGCTTCATCCTCACGAGAAGAGGTAGGGGGCCTATAGCAAATTCCTAGCACGATCTTCCGGGTTGCCCCGTCGACCTCGCACCATAAGTGTTCGATTGCACCACGGTTAGCCGAGTCGAGATTTTCTCTGACGCGAACTCCCAGTTCTGATCTACCATACAACATGACTCCTCTCCCCTTTCTGCCGGGCCTATCCTTCCGGAAGATATCGTACCCTTGAATCTGGAATTCCTTACCCAAAATGTGAGAACCTCTCCAAGTCTCGGTTACTCCGATGACATCGAAACCATTATTCCGTGCCCTCCCCCTGAGCTCCTCCATTTTATTACGTAAGCTGCATGCATTCGCGTAAAAAGACTTCACTCTTCCCTGCCTTTCCTACATACCAGTAGGCGGCGGTCTAAAGCTGCTCGTAGTGGTTGTCCCTTGCTCGTGATTCCTTGCCCCCCCCCTCCCTCCCATCTACAACCCAAAAAAAAGGCTCCATTTACTTCATGATAGCCAATCCGACTGCTCCAGCTCCCTCTTTCGAGAAATGTACTCCATCCCTAGCCATCGGACTTTTACGATGCCTCCGGAGCCCCTTTCGCGTCCATAAACACTGCCCCCTCCGCGATACATGACGATACGTATCGCGGTGGAGGTTCGACTGTGACATCCACATTGCGACCAGGTCGACGAAAAGATTCGAGCGTCGCTTCTCGTTTCATTCTCCGTTCGTGAGCGTGGGGAGTTCGGCTCGATGCAGCGGGTACTAAATTGGGCGCAGCGTGGTGAACGGAAGGAGCCGACAAACGATAACAAGTTGTGAAATCGACGAAGAAAAACACCAACAGGAAGAGAATCAACTCAGCTGGACGCAGAACATCTACACAAATATGCAATGAAAGAAATCGATGAATTCCAGCTTCGACAAGAGACATTCATGCGGACATGCAATATCAGATTTTAAAGTAAATCTGTAAGAAGTAGTACGAATTTTTTTTTCCCAAAGGTTTATCTTTTTCGGCAAATCCCCCCCTCCCCCTCTCCCTTTGCATCTCTACGGGACTGACTAACGTTAGGAATAGGCTTAACCGGCAGACTATCTTCAGGTCAGGCCTAAGCCTACCTTTTTGGTTAAAATAACTCAGCTCTCAACTTACAGGCCCAATTAGGCCTATAAGGGTAAACCTCGGGTTCATCGAGATACCTCGGTAAAGACGTAACCTCAGGCATATCGGGAGCTTCTCGAATTGCCTCGACGAGGTCTGAGGAGAGAATGCCTCCGGATCGAATCGCATATCGGACCCCGATCCCATTCGGGGATGTCCGTGCGCGACACCTCCATGTCCCACCGGCGTCGATCGGCCCTTGCGACCTGCCCGTTTCGATCTCAGCTCATCCCACGAACTCGAAGCAAAAATGTCTCAATCGTTAAGGAACAGAAGGTCCAGACACTCGAACGAAGTCGAAGCAGTCGCGAATCTGACATAACACCAGCACGATATCCGACAGCCCCGGGGGGACGGGGCCGGAGCCCGCACGCTAAGCCTAAATCGACGACAGCTTATTTCATTTTTCATAGCGAACCGTTGCATCTCCAACAAGTAGGGCACTTCTCGTGACCTAAAAGTCAGGCACTATTCGTGATCTACAATTCAAGGCCTTGCTTCTGGTTGAAATACTTGTTCCGTAAACAACCTAGGAATAAAGTGACCAGACGTCCCGATTTAGGCGGGACGATCCCACTTTCAGATCACCTGTCCCCGTGTCCCCCGACGAAGTAAACAGGTCGCCCAAATGTCCCGCTTTGGGGAGAGGCCGAAGAGAGACGGTCGAATTTCTTCCTTTGTGGGTTTCAGAACGAAACAAAATCGCATCGAGATAAACCAAGCAAACATCACGATCGTGTACAGCATACCTTCTGAATTTTTTTAAATCCATGGCAACTGCGTAGATATAAATGGGCAACACGAATACGGATTACCGAACAGCTAAGGAGGCTAAAAACATGGTAGCACTTGCCATGAGGCACCCCGCTCGTGCGCAATGCAGACGGCGAGGCCAGCCTCCATGCTATCGTATACAGTAAGTCCTCGATTTACGTCGTGGATGCCTTCCCGGAAAACAGGACGTAAAACGAAACGACGTAAATCGAAACCTATTTACCTATGGACGAGATGATATACTGGAAGTCCTCGATTTACGTCGTTATGTCGGAACGACGCAACGCATATGGAAATTTGTTTCCGAATATGTTAGCGACGTCTCATCGAAACGACGTAGATCGAGGACTGTCTGTGCTTTTAATGTTGCGCGAGCGATATGATACCCTTATGAGTCAGGGGAAGCCACCAGGCAGCAGTCAACTTTCATATACCGGACTTTGCTTGTTTTGCGTCGATCGAGAACGAACCCAACGGTTTTCAGAGATTTCTTTTAGATATTTGACATCTTAACACGTTTACTGGGCATGACGAACGTACTCGTCATGGGTCCTTAGCATGGAAAGAATATACACTTCTAGGGGGGGGGGGGGGGGGGGGGGGGGGGGGGGAGGAAAAAAGAATGAAATTCACATTTTCTAAGTGAGAAGCCAGTGTTCTCCGCAACCCCGGGAAATAGGAGATCAAAATTAGCTGGAGCGATTCTACGTTGAGAGTAAGAAGCGCGCTCGATTTCGTTCCTCTATATGCTCTTAAAGAGTAATATGAGGGAGTTGCATTTCGTGACGGAAATGGGTTGAAGAAAAGGAATAGGTCCTATTGATTCTAGTCCCTCAATAAGTAGGCGACTTTGACCATAACGACTTTAGCGACCTTACGCACGAAATCCGCGACCCAGCGCGAGAAAACACCTCCAGTCTGCGGTCCATAACGAGCGAAAAACAAGCCACATGGAGGGCATGCAGCCGTTCATTTGCTCACTTAAACAATTCCCTCCTCAAGGGTGGAACAAACAGACAACCGATAGGGGAGGGACGGACATCCCACGACGTCACTCGGCGCTGAACGGTACATTCCACCTTTCCATTCTAGCCATTTTGATCTGCGGTCAAGGCCATTTCGTCCCTTGGGCGCTACACGGTGGGGGGGGAATCTCTCTTGTGAGGGATTCGGATATTTATCAAAGCTTCAGGCTACCTACTTATCCATTCAAGAGAAAGTAAAACTTAAGGAGTGTTACATCAGGACCCGTGACGTAACGTCACGCATGTTAATGGAACTTGCCGTCGAGAGTTGGATGAAGCGATACTACCCCAGGGATCCCATTCCGAGCTGCAAAGCGAAAGTGATCAGGACACACTCGAGATGGGTCCGCTGTGGTTATATCGGCTGTACCTGCGAAAGGGGATCCTGCCGGCACTGATCAGGTGGTCCCTGTTCGTTTCTAACTTGGTGGGATGGGTCGTCATCCTCTGTGTCTTTGCCGTGCCGTGTCTCCTGTTTCTTTCGTACCGGTTGGGGGTGTGGTTGTGGTTGAGATGCCGACACCGGGGAGAAATGAAACTGATGGATGCGTCGGATGCAGTATTTGCTCTGCGTTCCGTCGATCGACCTAATTCCAGGGCCATAGTCGTCGCTTGGATTGCAATCGACGGGTGCGTTGACATCCTCAACTTGAAGGAGAGGATTCGGAAGCGTATTCAGGAAGATAGATGGTTTCAAAAATTAACTTTCTCTTCCCAATTCCGTCTCGGTTATTTGGTATGGAAAAAGGACAAATGTTTCTCCATCGATCATCACGTGAAGCTGATAGCAGAACCGGAAAAGGCAAGCCTCGAGCATTTGTTAGAAGAGTTGCAATGCCGGGATTTTGAAGTGGATCGGTCTCCCTGGGAAATTCTGGTATTGATGAATGGGAAGAAGACGACTTTGATCATCAGATGGCATCACTGCCTAGCCGACGGACCTGGCATGATCAACGGGATAATCAGACTCATCTTGGACGATAATTCTACCTTTCCAAGGAGCAAAATTCCAGAGAGAATGGCCCCGAATCTCAAAACGTTCTTTGCATTCCTCAAAAGCATGTTCTACTTCCCTACAATCTCACCGTGGTTATTTCTCATCCCAGATGGAAATTGTCTTTCGGTGACCAATCCGACCAAGAGGAAGAGAGTTTTCTTTTCGGATCCGTTGCCCTTGGATCCATTAAAGTGTATCGCCAAAAAGTTTGCCTGCACTATCAACGACATCTTCATATCTTGCGTGATCCAGGGATACAAAAAGACTCTGTTGGGGCCCACAGACACTTTATCGGTGGCAATTCCCGTCTCCCTGCATAGGGATCCGCCTCAGATCTGCAATCGCCTGAGCGTTGTCCGAGCCCCGTTACCGGTGGCTTTCGACGGCGAAGTCCGCATCCGCGAGATCCGCGAGATGACTCGCTGCATGAAAGCATCGCCTGACATCCACTGTGATTATACCATGCACCACATCATGTCCGACGTACTTCCCTCGTGGTTGTCAAAATCAATCCGGTTAGCGAAGGTGGCCGGTTGCGTGAGTAACGTGGCTTCCCTCGTGCCTCCCAATGCCCGGATTCAGGATCATCCAGTCTCCACCCTTTGTGTGTTCGCACCACCGATCCTGGACATTGGTGATTCACTTTCATCTCCTTTTGCCAATTTCGTCCTGGCTCGATTTCCTGTCGGCCTAACATCTTCAGGATAGATTATGAGCGAAAGTTGACGGAGGCCAATGAGAAACGAGACCGATGTATTTGATCTGTTTCAGGCATGGCCATTACGTTGGTGAGCATAGGGACCAGCTATCGCTTCGCCATCATGGCCGACCAGAGCGCTTTCAAGAAATCTGAAGATGCGAGGATTTTCCTGGGGACCATGGTCAACCACGTCGACGTCCTCTTGTCTGCTGCAGGAACCTTCCGAGAGAAAAATAATCCTTCGACCCCTTCGTTCAGCTACATCGTTCCTATTATCAAATACGGTATGGAATCCGGGATGATGCTAAAGGAATCCCTGCGAAGCCCCTAGGGAGGACGCCCGAAGGCACTGAAGGCGCAGCGAGAAAGTCAGTGGATTCTCTTCATTTTGTGTCATCATTTGATATCACTGAAATAGAGGCATTATTCTTGTATGCATCCTATTCCTCATCACTAGATGCATCACTGAAGCACACGCAATAGTAAAACATGCTGGATGTGAAGAAAAAGTTCCTGGCAAAAGGACTGCTAATTATCGATGCTCATCGAAATGGAAGAATTTTCCTTGCTTCTGAAACTTATTTTCTACTACCAAATGCAAATTGATTTTCATGATCATCAGGTGGAATCCTTGGAATATACTTGCCTGAATTCATCGTATTAAAAAAAGAGAATAACTAAAATGGCTCGCACTTGTTTATTGAAATTTAGCCCTCAGTAATCTGTAAGTTCCAATTTCGTTTCAAAGGATTACATGCGAAAGGGACAAAAACTGAGACCTCGTATTCAATGCCTAACTTCTGATCAGGCAGCAGGCAATATCAGGTTTTTCAGTTCAGCTGATTCTGCAAGGGCATTATGTAGTAATGTGAAAACAAATTTTCAATGATTTACTTTTCTTCAACCTCAACCTCACCACCTTTCTCTACGGAACTCACTAACGTTAGGCGTAGGCCTAACCAACGGTCTTCGGGTCAGGCCTAGGCCTACCTTTTTTCGTTCAAAAGAAACTCAATCCTCGACTTACGGACCGATTAGGCCTACAAGGATTAATCCCTCGTCTTTCGAGACACCTCGTTGAGGACGAGTAACGTTAGGCCGATCGCAGGCCTATTCAGTCTCTCATGGCCCATTTAACAGAGAACGTGTAACGTTAGACCGAATGTTGGTCTTTTTCGAGTTTCATGAGCCATTTCAGTGCAGTCGTGGAACATTTGGCCTATCCAGAGTTCCTCGAATAGTCTCGACTCGTTCTGAGAAGTAAGTCCCTGTAGAAAGCATGACATACATGTGTGCAGCCATCATCTTAATTTAGGGATGTCCGGATGAGATATCTCCGTATTGCACCAAATTCATCGGCCACTGCAAACCACTGCTTCAATCTCAGCTCATCCCATGAATTCAGCACAATAATGTCTCCTACATTAGAAGAAGAAGATCCAGACAACGATACTAAGGTCGAAGTCACGAATCTGGGATAACTAAGGCACGATATCCGGCAACACTGGAGGACGGGACTGGAGCCATCGCGCTAAGCCTAAATTAACGGCATCTAATTTCATTTTTCATGGCGAAATGGTGCACAGGAAGCAACAAAAGGACACTTTGTGTCACCTCCAGGTCAATATCTTTCGTTTGGTTGGTCTCTTTCCTCCAACTTTCCTCCAAAAACTTCCCAGGAGAGGCAAACCAGGGGGGAGAAAAAAAAAATACCGGAGGGAAGCAGGAAGTGGCAATCTCAAATGTCAGATCCGCGGTCAATGGCTCGGTGCATCAGTAATACAATTCACCTGCGGCTACATTTGGCAGAGAAAGGAAATGTTGGGCTGGAGGCGCTGGTTCATCTTGAATGGTCCTATAGGCGGGATTCTCAGAGTCCCTCCTCACTCAATGGTCCACTCCTTCCGCATTCGAAGTCCCCATATGCAGTAATTGACAGGGAGGCGTTATCTTGAGCCGAGGAATTTCCTTGAATTGGCGGTGGTGCACTGAAGGAGGTTCCGACGAGATGAGGCAGTAGCTGCTTCCAGGTCAGGGTTGTTTGCAGAGTGAGGTTGTGGAGTTCGTTCAGCATCGGGTGTCCATTCTTCTAATCGATCCATTCTCCTCTCCTCTTAGTTGAGATGTCCTGCATTTCACCCTTCCTTATTCCCGTACACTCATTTATTCCCATACTTCAACATTTAATAATTCCAAGAGTCATATATTGTGATAATAATATCATGGTTCAATGTTTTCCTAATATATATGTTTATAAATTGCACAGTGAAAAGAGGAAAGAAGGGAGAAAAACCTGATACTATTTCAGAAAAGCAGGTACTTAATTACATTTGTTGGGTGCAGGGAACATGGGTTCCATCTAGTGAGGGCCCATTGTACTAGAGACAGTCAAAAGTCAGCTGAAGTTTGTTGTGCTGATTTTGCATGAACTTCATGTTATATACTTTATATCAGGTGAAGTCATGTATAGTTTATTTGAAATACACATCCCCTTAGGTGATGTAAATAGAGCCATGCAAATTTTCCCAAGCAGCATGTTTATGTAAACAAGACATCAATCTTTTTGCAAACAATGTCAATTTTTAGCAATTGTCATGCAAATGATATCACGTTCATATAAAATTTACATGTGATGTGTATTTCATATAAACTAAATATGACTTCACCTGATACTAACTTCTCTTCTCTTCTGTATTTCCCCCCAAATTAAACGTGGATCCCTGCTGAGCGAGCCCCTTTATCACCTGCCCCATCTCTCTCTGATCTACTGTGGGGGACCATACAAATTCCAGCGTTTGGATTTAAAATTGTCCAGTTCAGAGGTCGGCAACCTACGACCTGAGAAAATTTATTTTATATTTCATTTGTTCTTTTCAAAACCTCATTCTCCCACTTCTGGGTACCAGATACACGATTAGCTAATAGCGATGAATGTTAATGTGCATACCCCTGGCAAAAATATTCTATTGACTCTCTAAAGCCAGGGTGGGCAACAGGAATTTTTTTCATTGCCACAGGTGGGGCAACTCGGCCATTAAAATTGTCACACTATGAAAAAAACTCAGAATTTGCGTGAAATAAATTTATTTCACGATTCCAATGACACTGAGGGGCCAATTACAAAAAATTATGCCTCAATCTTATTGAGAAGGATTAGTGACAAATTTGGCAATCTTTTTCTTTCACCATTTCGAGAAACCTTGGCTTAAAATTTGAACAAAGCGCACATCTCAGCTTTGCCTCTAAATTCATGTCAACAATCCGAGATCGGGACTTGGACTTGAATAATTCTGCTCAATACTTGTAATGCGGCTAAACGTAATTAACAATTTTACAAATGTTTAAATAAAAATATGAAGCAATTCATAAGATGAAATTGCCACACTTTTTTTGCAAACTACCACCTATGGCAATTGGCAACCATGTTGTCCACCCCGGCTCTAAAGAAACAACTCTATAAGGTCGTACAGTATATAATTCTATTATTTCTTTCTATATAATTCTATTAAAACACTGCATGGAAATTCTATGGAGATTCTATAGAAATCCTATCAAGAATCTTACCAAGATTTTAGAGAATCCTACGAAGACACTGTAAAGAAATTCTACAGAATTTCTATAGGGCTGTATGAATTTCTATTGTGTCACTGTATAGAAAGTGTACAGAATTTATATTGATTTTCATTAACTTCTGACTTCAGCGTATAAAAAATTTATTGAAATCCCATCAAATTTATTCGAAAAAAAGTAGGGGCAAATAGGGTTCCCAAATGAAAAGATAAAGAATTAAAGGTAGCCTTTTTTCGTCAACATCAGCATGTAGAAAGGTCATCTATAATTTTATTGAATGTGAAGAGCCTTTTAGTATGTTCATATCCGATTATTTTATGATGAACTTCTGACAGCATTGGCATATGGTAGTGGAGGGATATGACCCAGGTCGTAGTTGTGATCTGCTGGAAATCCTCATGGGGATCATACATCAGAGAGTCGTTCCATCCCGAGGGGTGCAATTTTAAAGAGTTGCGCCAACGGGAATTAGGGTGTAAAATAAAAATGAAGTTTGGAATAGGAGAAACTGGACGAACCAAAACGTCTCTATCAGGCCTTCCATCTGACCTGTGAGAGGCAAGCGGCTCGATCCCTCCCCTGGCTCATATGCGATGGATGAGGGACATCACGTAGTGCACGCAATACACAAGTATAGTTGCCTGGGGTAAGTGGGGCCCCCAGGGCAAGTGGGAACCTCCTTGTTTTTTCAGCCGATATCAGCTAAAAGAGAAAGTTACCTATTATTCCTTTCCAATCATATAGTAAGCTCTCTTGCACAATATATCCCACCCTCCTTAAACAGACTTTTTATAACTGCCAGGGACGAACGCCCAACCATGGCAAACAGAATCGACACAAGAGTGCACTGCTGATACTTTGAATAAGACATAGAGCCACCTCAAAGTGAGTTTCCTTTAAAAGTCAATGTTCAGCCGAAAGCTCATAGACTACAGTATATTACTGAATCTGTTGGGTGAGTTAGGTTCTTTTCAGCTAATTCTAGATTCATGAGGAAGGACAAACTTTCCCAGCAAAATTCAAGGGCAAGTGGGCATTCCCTCCCCCCCCCCCTTCTGGGGGTAAGTTGGACCCCCCTCCATCCGTCATCACCAAACCATGTGGACGTGAGTGATTGGTTGACGCTGATTCAAATCATGTTCTAAATAAGATGAGAAGATCAAATTGCAACGACTTTAGCTGTCGTGATGCTGAGTTCAGAAAAAATATTACTTCTGGGAAACGTCCCCTGGGGAAAATACTTTTTTGAGTGATATTTCCTCAAAACTTCTTCGCTCCAGCAAAACGTCAATTAATACTTGATAACTACGTGTTTAAAGAAAGTTGAAATTCGGTACGCAAGTACCTGTAGTTCTCGGGTTGCTAATTTGAGGAATGTTCCTACTTCCTTTGGGAACATCCCCTGAGAACACAATTTGTTTAAAAGTTATTTTTTTTTTCAAGAATATATTCCTTACAGCGAAATTGGTTGATACAGCAAGCTTAAATGTGGCATGTGGCAGCACTCCAGGGGGAGGGTTCCTATTACTTTGGAGGGGGGTAACAAAAAAAAGTTTTGACTTCAGCAAAATCTTTCTTTGAGTTGCAATGCAAAAGTGACAGTACGAAAGAAAACTCAATAGAGAACCCTTGGGGAAGGTATGAATATTTCATTAATTGCCGATATCCTCAATTTAGCAGTGACGTCACATAATACGAAATTACTTAACGCAATAATCAAAATGCCAAAAATCAAAAGAGATGATCTTAGTTGATCCGATGGGCGAATGCACACATTTCAGAAGAATTTCGCATTCACTATTTTCTGCAAAATAAGCCAGAGGCTTTGAGCAGTTATTGAACAAGTTTACATATGAAATTGCACAAGAGCAGAGCACTTGAGTTTATTTAGAGTTTACTTTTAT